TGCAAAACGAAAACTTTAAAGACATTGAACATCCAAAATGTTTCTTTCGGAACAGGTAGTTGATACATCACATCCAAAAATAAGACAGCTACCAGTTCGTTGGACACTTCTAGTTTTATATAATCTTGGTTTTACGCAGAAGAATAAAAATATTTTGTTGTTATGCCTTATTTAATTTTACTGCTAGAAATTTTGTAAAATGACTGTTTTGTAGTTTATTTATAACGATTTTCTGAAATAGTGTATGTCTGGTTATCTTCAAGTATGTTAAGTACAGAGGTGTGTATTTTATGTGAAACTATTAAATTATGTTAATTAATTTAATAGTTAATCACATTTATCAGTTAACATAAGTAATAATGCAGGACTATTAAAGACGAGAAATGCATACAAATCCTAGACAAGCTGAAGGGAAGAGACCACTTTGGATACCGAGGCATAGAGAGGATAATATTAAAATGTATTTTAAAGAAATAGGATGTTTATGTGTAGAATGAATTCAAATGTCTCAGGACAGCGTCCCGTGTGGGGATGTTGTGTCAAGGGTAATGAACGTCCGGGTTCTAGAAAAGGAGGACAATTTCTTGAACGGCTGAACGACTGTCAGCTTCCAAGGAATCTACTCTGTGGGGTTAAGTACAAGGCTTCCAAATGATGAATTGGGATGAATATGGGACTTACTGGGATACTGGGAACGACCCGTTCTTCAAGTGCCTGAGCACTGCGGGTCCCAACTTTTCGTTGGCTTGATCTACAGACATTCGGTAGGACTCCTTGGACGAGGGGTCGGCCTGTACACAGGACAGCACAACACAGAAAAACGCGGACAAACATCCACGGCTTGAGTGGGATTCGAACCCACGGACCCAGTGACCAAGCGGTACAAGGCCCACGCCTAAGACCGCGCGGCCACTGCGAACCCCTTATTAAGAATACCATTTACAATTTTAAGATTAAGGTCAGAAGGTCGCTGGCTGTTGTGAACTCGGTAATGAACGTCCATGTTCCATAAAATGCATAGAATTCCTTTAACAGCTGAGAGACTTCTCACGTATTGCTGTTCAATGGAATTATTTTGTTAGTTGTTCTGTACGTGCCTCTTTAAGTACATTATACTTGCTTACGTTCTGTCGAACCATACGAAGAATTCCAACACACCCAACTAATACAATTACTTCTTTCCAATGCAGCTGAGAACCACCGAAGACATATTTAAAGAGCTTGGCTACATTGGCAATGACATCTGTTGTTAAATTCGGCACTCTATGCAATAAATTACGAAGAAGCAGCGCTGTCGAGTAGACAGGTCTGTGTGGACAACATGGCTGCCGTTACGCAACGTGTTTCTGAAGATACGGAAGTTGTTGAAGGCCGAGTTGGGGTTCTTGTAGCTGCGGGAAACGAGGTGATAATCAGTGAAGTTCCGCAGAACTGGAACTATTCCAGCCGTCGTCCGAAAATAACAGCGAGTCAAGTAAATGCCCTAAGATAATGAAGAGAGCAACTACATTTAGCTGATTAAATTTTGGGTTACAAGTAAGATTACTCTATCTCGGCAGAACTGTGTATAAAAATGTTTAGTGTTGTTGAGATTCATGAAAGAGATTAACTTTTTAAAATAATTTGGTGCAATAGTTATTTATTTATTTCGTTAACTAGTTATTTATTTTGCAGTCTGCAGCTGCTGAAACCCAACAGAGTAAAATTATGTTTTAAGTCTTATAATATTTCACAATTCCATTCCATATGACCTATATACCACATACCGTACTATAAACAATTTTTGATGCGAAAACAGGATCGTATAATAATATAATACATTTTAAAAATTTTCTGCTTTTGTACATGTCCCAAAATGTTGTAAACACAATTAAAATACATGAAAAAAAGGTTTTTAATAAAATAAATAATTACATACGTCAGCAATGGTGCTTAGTGAATTAGCGAACAAACTGCAACATGATCACAACACACGGATATCGATAAGAAGATTAATATTCCATATTATAATTTTTTTCACATAATTTTGGGACAGCCTTATATAAACCTATATGAATCACTGGCAGGCTGCTGTGAAACAGCATTGCTTCGCTTGAAAATACTAGCAGTTTCGTCCCTATTTCAAACATGACATACAACGGCAAGTGCTCCATAGTAAATGTCATTTACTATCGCCGCGGTAATAATAGTACACCTGCTATTCCTACACCCTCACAGTAAAGAAAGTCAATGTTTGCAAGGGGTTCAGTCTTGAAAAATCTCTTTAGAAATACCATAGGAACGGAAAAAGTACACGAAATTTCGAGTTAGGAAGTTATGAATCCATATAAGACTGCTTTATTGATACAAGTAGAAAGAAAAAAACCCGGATGTAGCCGAAATAGCACCGACCCATCAGATAATTAAGCATTAATGGAAAAAATAATTTTAATAATTATAATGAAAGTAAAATAAGATAAATAGGCATGATAGTGTAGTGAATGCAGTAAGTTCATTTCTGGAACCTTTCGTAATTACGTAATTTTAATTGATATTTATTTCGAGGACAGAGCTCAAACCATATGGATTTAATTAAAAATAAAAGATATAAAATTTCAGATGATTCTAAAACAAAATTTATTACTGTACGATAAATCTGACATCTTGATGGATAAGACCTCGCAAGTCGCCAGAAACCCGACGAGACTAGATCATGCGGTTAGCAACTCGTCAAACTCTGAGACCATGGTGATTTATCTCTACACAATGTTATATGAACGCCATACAAGACAGTCCTTGACAAAATGACTTTCTCTCAGCTGATCAAGAAAACCTGCGTCTCCTATGGAAGCGGAGGTTTATTACGTTATTACACCGCGAATCCAGCGAGAGGATTTTTCTTTCTCAGGACAGGATTTAACAACATGTCAGTGTGGAGGCGACAATGATCGTTTGAGTTTCATAAAATGTAGATAATTTCTTGACCACCTGAGATATGGAAAGACCAAAAATGCCAATATTTATAAATGGGCCTTGTTCTATGGGGTACTTAAACGTATAATTTAGTGAAATTTCAACTTCTCACTGTGGCGATTATAAAATTGCCTGTCACTTGGGTTTTTGCCCCGTGAATTTTTACAGAAATTAACCGATCATTCCCAACGAATAATTTATATACAAAAAAAAAAACACAAAAGGACCTTCAAGTGTTTTGAGATTGCGAGATGTGTTTTACCTCTGAGCTTGCCTAAAACTTTTCAATCAGACTAGCCGGTTTTCTAGATCCGATATACGTACCAACAAAAGAGTAAATATATTCTTCTGTTCTTTAAGATACACAACACAAATGTGTGTCTGAGTAGCATAGCAACCACACGGCATGTAACCAGGAACACGATGACCGTCATGTAAAGAGAATATTTCAGTACCAGAATTGAAGTAAACAGTCATTAGATAATGACAAAGTTACATATTAGGGATTAGCGAGTCGGTCGGTTTTGAAAATGTCGGTTGCTAGTATTAAGTTGGTACCGCCCGCTGGAACACGGGGAATTCCACAAAGAGGTTTATCAATTAAGATACACGAACCGACTCTCCGGTAGTACCAAGCCCAACCACAAGAGTTAATTAAGACGAAATATCGCTGCCTGCCTATAAACTGTATTAGTAGTCTGCAGTAGCTGGTAGCAGAGAAAATGCGCGAAGCGTTCTTTGGGGACGCTAGAAGAAGGCATAATTTAGACAGAGAATGGAGCATTATGTCTGAATGTAATTTCAGTAACCTATCCGAAAATGAAATGCACCACGAACATTACAAGCAATTGACTTACGGCATGATTGTAGGAATACTGTGATGGACATTGCCCATTGTATGAGATGTTGACATATACGACGTTTCGGAAGTTGACACTTCTCCCGTCGTCACATGTTTGATGGTCATAATATTGACAATTTTTGTATAATTAGTGAATGAATAAGGAATTGATCGTATAATAGGTTGGTACGTACCCCATTAAACCACCGTGGCGTCCAAAAATTGGGTGCATTTGGACTAAATCTATACCTACATTACACTTAGATTGTAGGGAGAGCAGTACGTTTA